GGGTCCATCGAAATGGCGTAGAGCGGGTAATACACTTTCGGATTAATTCAAGTAATTTCGAGTGTCGTTTGGCGGAATTATATTCCGCCACGGGTACATTGTATTATTCGGTCTCGTACAGGAGTCCAACCTCCTACATCCTGTTCCATTATTCTAGCATACATGCGGTATATGTGCATATATATGAAAATCGTAGGTACCACTGTCCAGAATTCGTAAGAGCGCATTTAAATCTTCCTCGCAGCGTCCATTATGCCTTTATTTCTTCCTTTCTCTTGATTATCTTTCCTCGCTGCTCTCCACCATTCCTCTTAACCAAACCCATAAACCCCACGTGTACGTGGACCCACAGCTCCACGCTCCATTCTACGGGTTCACGCACTTTTCGTAAATCGCGTCGTCGCTGCGGAGGTGCGGAGGAGGAATTCTCATTGCAGCGACGAACCCGACGTCCCCGCGGACGTCCCCGCAGACGACGAGATCGCCTGGATAATTTTCCGAGCCGAGCAATTATTCTTCCTCGTAGGGGCGTTTGCATTGTCGGCCTGTCCTGGAAGGAAGCCCACGGACCTCCGGCCGCGGGGGAGCAGGGCTCTGTGTAATAGCAAGGCGCTTTTCCCCGCATTCAGATGCTAATTCCGTCGAGCCGACCATTAGAGGACTCGGCTTCTCTGTTCTAGCGCAGCCAGATTTCAGATAGTCCATATTAGATTTGAGTAAGGTTAACGAGTGGAGGAATTAATGGGGGGTGGGGGAGGGGGGAAAGCAGACACCAGGCAGGCTTTGTTGCTTTGAAAGAGATATCACCGCGTTATAAAATTTTGTCGAATAATTTGGAATCTGTCGATCTAGATTGAACGAACGAAGTTACGTCGTCCGATTTAATGAGTTTTGGTACATTCCGTATCGTTGTATTTTAATAACAGCATCATAGTGATGTTATTGGAGTGACTCTTTCGCAGATTAATGATACTTGGGAAGCGGATCGTAAAATTCATTTATACGAGAAGGCTCTAACATCAAATACAGAGGAGGTAATGAATTTAGCCGGTTTTAAAAAGGTTATCGACTGCGGCCATTCCCGTTTCTAAACGCATGGCCGACCGAGCGAGTTTACTCGGCGAGAGAGTCAACCCTCTGGCTGCTTTCCTGAAATACGATTACCGTGCCCCTGCTCTAGGTCGAGGCTGGTGGACCTGCCTGCCTGCCGTATAGATGGGTTATAGAGTGTTGCGAGCCCCCCTTTAACTAGTCGTATTTGTTCGAACGACATAACATCCGATCTTTGCGCTGACAATAAAAAAGGCTAAAATTTGGAAATTATTAAGTGGAACACGCGTGTCCTATATCTTGAGACATATACGTCGCTGCTTTAAGATAAAGTTACATATCCCACCGTTGACTTTTCAAACTCATCTTATATATGTATACTTACAACCCTGAGGAAGAACGTCACGTTTGATAATAATTGTCTAGAGGTACGAGCTAATTAACTTCCTCCTTCACTGAAAGACACCCATTTATCTGTCCTTGATTCTCTTGGAAGGAAAGCCCGTTTCCGGGATCTACGGAGCAACGTATTTACCTCTTTAAAGTCAGTTTTCAGGAAAGCCGTAGAAATACGAGAAAGGAGTGTTCGTCTGGAACAAGAGTGAGAAAGAGGGTTATCAGAAAAAGAGAGAGTGTGTGTGTAGGTAGCTAAAGTTCCTTCGCTAGACCATCCTGAGAGAGAGAGTGAGAGAGAGAGAGAGAGAGAGAGAATGAGAGAGACGCGTCAAGGGATCGGTATCTCCCGAATTTATATATTGTAAATACCTCGCTAGACCATCCTGAGAGAGAGAGTGAGAGAAAGAGGGTTATCAGAAAAAGAGAGAGTGTGTGTGTAGGTAGCTAAAGTTCCTTCGCTAGACCATCCTGAGAGAGAGAGTGAGAGAGAGAGAGAGAGAGAGAGAATGAGAGAGACGCGTCAAGGGATCGGTATCTCCCGAATTTATATATTGTAAATACCGCGTAATCTGATGACCCCAGGGCGAGAGAGTCCCTTCATTACCGGCACAGGGCCATTGTTCCGTTAGTATAATTGAATTCCCAAGGCAGCCAGGCCAGCGAGCCAACCAACTAACCGTCCAACCAACGAACCGAACCCCTTTTCCTCTTCCATGGGGTAGACATCAGCGAACCAGAGTGAAGCATTGGCTCTCGCGTAGGACCCAGGAACTGATTTACCCCATTCATCAGGAATAATGCGATATCTTGCTCTCTGCTCCTGTCAAACCCCTCTGGCAACCACTTGACTGGGGTCATCTCACGGATTTCCAGTCAGCGTCTCCATTTTGAGATGCATCGAACGGAAGCTCGAGCTTAAATGATTTTAGCTTCTAGGACTTGACTGTATCTTAGCCAGGGCCGTCCTCTTGGGATCCTCTATTCAACCTTTTGTATGGATCTCCCACTGGGAGTGTCTTAGTTCTCTATATAGTGTCTGGCTGTTTAGGAAGCTTGTACCAGGGGTAGATTTTAGTGTCTAGATATAGTCCACGGGTCACATAGTTGAGGATCTATAGGAAAGACTGCAGTGTATCTGGATAGTATAAAATCTCTTGCAAGGGTCGTGTGTCTGTCACGCGCGCCCTCTACACTGCACTGCGTCAGGTACCTGACTTTACCTTCTACCCTTCTCTAGCTATGAATTATAATCTCGCGTACACGCGGATGGGTAATTAACGCTCCTTGAAGGGAGGACTCATCTTTTTAGCTCCCTCGGCCCATAGACTCCAGAAGCCCTGTATAGTATTTTATGGGAGATTTTATGGTGCTTCCGTCATGAGGCTCCCGTAACTATTTCCTCTACTCGCTGATAGCAGCTACTAGCCAGGTGAAATTTCTCAAGCTGAAAATTCGTAAATTTCTAGGGAAAAATATGAGAAGCTTGATGGTAACAATATCCAATGGATGAAATATACAATCCATTACGAAGGAATTTTAGATTTTAGGTAAAGTGGAATGCTCGCGAATCCGGAAGCTCCAGAGCATTAGTCATTCCCTGTAGCAGAAGCGTTAACGCGGTTCACGGACACCCTTCCGCAACCCTCCGCAACCCTCCGCGTATGGCGCAGCCTCTGGCTATAACGGTAACCCCGTAGCGACCCGTGTCCCACGTCATGACTGATTGCCAGCATTACAATTTGTCAATAACAATTGTCCCGGACGTAACTGCTACGCAAACTGCAACTGATGGCTACATCGATTGCGTCACCGTTACACGCGCAACTCCCACTCAAAATGATTTCGCGAACGGACACAGTTTCTAAATTGTTTGAAAAAAAAAAAAATTACCAAAAATGTGGTACAAAAAAGATGTCCTCGCGCAACCGCACGTATTTGACGTATACTTGACGTATCTCTGAATGAACAACGGCCAAGCGTTCGTCAATTATTTGACGTGCGATTGGTAATGGAGAATGACTGATAGGGCGGTGTGGAATTGTTGAAATTTTCATTGAATCCGTAAAGTGTTGGAATTCCATTAAAGGCGATATTACTGAAAAGTTGCGTGAAAACGATGAG